ATGTGTAACGTGTATGATTGAGAGGGTACGCTTATTCCACGTAGCTGCTATATACCACGTGACAATGGTGCATTCCCTGCCCATCTGTATATCGCAATAATAATTTATAAACCAAAATGAATCACAATTTGTGACGGTAGATGGCGCTATACCCGCTTTGATGTTTCTTAGCGATTGCGTTCGAAATAAATAGGTTATGCTGCGTTCCAACATGTTTTGTAAAACTTTACTCTAATATAGACGTTTTATCGGCAGGGTGGAGCGGAAATACCAATTTTGCATTAAAGATATTGTCAATGAAATCTTGTAAAACAAACCAGACGGAGGTGACACCACAGACTGTTTGTTATCTGCGTGTCTATATAATAGGCTATATAATTGCCAAAACCTACCTAATTTGCATAATTTTTTTTTAAACATCAAAACCCCTAACCAAAAATGAGCAAAATCCGTTGAACCTGAACTGACTAATGGCAATTCCCATTTTTGCCAAAAAATTGCCGTGGTTCGAAAGTACGTCGACTGGCGTGCTCCAAAATAGGACGTTCAATATGGGAGCATAGCAGTAACAACTATACCCGATTTCAAACATGTGGGTCAAACGGTTCCTGAGTTATCGTTGACCGTAGCCAAATGTTGACGGACGGACAGACGGACGAACGGACGGACGAGCGGACGACGGACGACGACCCATGGCAATAGCTCAGCTTGACGATGTCAAGGTGAGCTAAAAATGTTGAATGAAACGACGTTAATGGGGGTCTTGCTGTGTATCTATCCTTGGGAATTATGTTGCGCAAACCGATCCATCACCCACATCAACCAATGCATCGAAGGAGTTATTGGCTATTATTATTTAATTAGAATGCACTTAGTCTACACACCTCCTGTAGTCTGGTACTATTTTTCGTGTTGCCCTGCTCTGCCTCTGCCATCAACTTCTTCTCTTCTTCCAGCAGAGCGAGTCGTTTTGTGTCCGCCTTCAGCACAGAATCTATAGCTGATGTTTCATCGGCAACAACCTCTGAAAGAATCGACACCACATGATAATTTAATGTCACCTGAATAATGATAGCTGCAACATCACAACTTGATGTCACCTCTACAATAACACACACTTTCTCATAATTCGGGGGTCACTGCTACAGGAGCACACACTACATCATTTAAAAACAGGAGTAATATTTACGGCTAGTAAAACTTTAAACAGCTAATGAGTGACCACCGCTCAGTTTCATATATATATATATATATATATATAGTAACACCCACATAGGCACCACACATTTACCTTGTCACATAGCAACACGTCAATATGACAGGTTATCTCTGTAGAAATTGTTTGCTAATATAACGAGCAATGGTTGCTTCCATGTCGTAATAAAAGGAATAAAGTTAAATAAATTTAAACAGACAATCATCACACACCATTTTTAGCATCAACATGAAACCTTTGAATTAAGCAATGCTGCAACGGTTAAAGCTCTATCTTCTACCTCTTATTGTAAAGTACTGGTTATCGTGTCGTAAACTGAGGGTTTATATGATAATGAGATGTGCTCAATAAACTTAAAGTAATTGACGTGAGAATCGCATTGCCTGTGAACCCGCACAAGCTTTTCTAAAGGCAGCTTACCCATTGGGCCCCAAAGCCATAGCCACTAACCGTTTTGTGATATCAAGTAGCATTCCAAAAAACTCCTTCCTCTGCAGCTATGGAAAAGTTCTATCTAATGTACACCCAAATGAGGAATCATTATTACGCATGTAAGCTATAAGACACAAGTTCAACACATAGCAGACCATGCTGCAATAAAAGTGTTAAAATAAGAACTAACTTTACATGTGGTAACAATTAGAATAATTAAATAGCACGAAAATTATAAACTGAAATCTCATCAAATCAAAATTAATAGTTTCCCACAATTACTAGAGAACCAGCACGTCACTGGCTAAACATTGAATAAGTGTCACTGGATATCATACCTGATTCACAGCTTCCTGCTGCTGTTTGATACTGCTTTCTCAGCTCGATACAGAGAACTGTCAGTACAATGACTGGTGTGAGTTGATTCCACTGACGGATTGAATTCCAAACTGAACAATTGCAGAGCACATGCTGTACAGCACTTAAAAAGCATCCGAAATGCAAGCTACTATATTTCGCTTATTGCTCCTAGTAAACATGGACTTGATTAAATTCTTTACATGAAAATCTAACCAAATCACAAAAGCATCCGAAATCGCAATGCTACATATTCTCGTTATCGCTCCGCTAGTAGAATATGAAACTGCAATTAAATTACTGAAACCTCTAAAAAGAGATTCACCATCCGAATGCATCAAAAGTAATCTTACGTTGTCTCTGACAGTGACAGTAAACACATGGATTTATGTTTTGTTAACTAGTAGACAGAAAACAAAATTGAAATTATGTTATCATTTCTACATCCTTAGACACTCTTGAGTATACTGATGTTACTAATTTATGACTACCGTCTTTGTAGCTTTTTTCTTCGTCTTTTCGCACTGAGCTCTCGGTGCTGCTCTTCTTCTACATCACTGCATACTTGAGAATCAATGAATACAACCGTTAATTGTCTGTGAGAATTCCCAATCAATTAAACGTAACATCAATGCCGATAGTGAATGAAGGAGATATGGATATCCCGAACTAGCAACCCCAAGCTATATAGAGTCATCAATATCCTATGTAACATTTCCATTTGCCTGACAGAGTCCATATCAGCTGAATGGCAAACTAGTTACAAATGTAATACTCGCATGGGCCAAAACCGAACAGATTACTTACGGATATCCAGCATGGTCTGTAACAACTAGTTCGGCAGACTACCACCATACTAATCGCATTTGTGCAAATATACATGAACTCTAACCAATATACAGCACCCTCATGCGCGGTACATGCCCCGAACAAGATAATACTATAGATTACGGAGTTTATATAGTTAAAATCTATACACTCCTGCATGGTGACGAGTCATGAAAATAACGTTGGATCATAATCCCGAGCTACCAATATCATAATAATCACATGATAATTGCTATTCCACTGCTGCTAGGATAAAGGCAACATAGCCAATGCTAGCGTAAACTACCCAATACGCAGCCACATATACACAGGATAGAAATACACAGGAGCGATGTGACCTCAATAAACAAGGGAAATTCGTATTACTACCTTAGAATACCCTAACGAATTTACTACGCGAACTTCATCCAACTGAACCAAATCGTTAACAGTAACACGCTCAGCACGTGCAAATCGTTTCCTCGTAGTACACCACGCATGCTCGGAAATACAGACTAAACGTACGACACAATTTTCCATTCTGTTGCCAGCAAACTCGATGCGTTCGGAGCCTTATTTGAAACAAAAGGCAGCTACTAACCACAGCTTGCTCTCTCGGCCAGGCGGTGTGGCTCGAGGGAGATTGGACATCGACGCAACACTCGGCGAGATAACCTTTGACCCGGCATACAGCTACATACCAGCATACAGCTGGTATGCCCCCACGCACGCACGTTCACCGCAATCAGCAGCAGCTCCAGCTCCAATCTCCCTGCGAGCCACACGCCTGGCCGAGAGAGCAAGCTGTGGGAATGCATCGAGTTTGCTGGCAACAGAATGGAAAATCGTGTCGTACGTTTTAATCTGTATCTTTGGATTACGGGTGTATACAAGGAAACGATTTCGCACGATGCTAGGCGAATATACTGTGTACGATTTGAGCTCAAGTTGGATGAGTTACGCGTAGTAAATCGTAGGTAGTATAAGGCTAGTAAATGACGAATTTCCCTTGTTTATTGAAGTCACACTCCTCCCTATTATCTACGCCTGATATAATCATGCTGCTACAAGCCTATGTGTCTAGATTGCGCTCAGGTACGTGTTATTCTTAGCGAACCGCTTCATTGCAACCCTACTACTACTACTACTAGTGGTACCACTAATAGTAATGGCTGTTGCTGCTGCAACGGTACCGTCGCCGATTTTTTTTCTCTTTAAGTCACGGTAGTGATGCCAGCGCCATCTATCGGCGAATAATAACCGGCGAACCCTAATCCTAACCTTAACCCTAACCCTAACCCTAACCCTAACCCTTTTCCATAATTGAACAAAATTGTGTGATTCGTAATCTTTTATGAAGTCTTGTAATACTGCAAATGATGTGGTCACTGATGCGCATTATTTTGCGCGAGGTAGCGCTCGTTGCGCTTATCAACCAATCAGGCGTCAGTACCGTGACTTTAAGAGAAAAAAAATCGGCGACGGTACCGTTGCAGCAGCAACAGCGAATAGTAATACAGGTCGGTGTCCCGAATAATACGTTAAGCGGATTTTTAATCAATAATTAATCAATGATAATGATATTATTGTCGACATGCATGGGCGTGTTGAAATTACCAACAGCAACATAAAACAGATGGAACTTGTAGTTGTAAGTTGTATTATACGTGCAGGGTTTAATCAAAATTGGTTCCAGTTTCTGCACCTTTCGTGATCGGTTCGTTGTTCTCGTTGTTTTCTATCAAATTGCCATCTTCGTCGAATTCCATGTCGTCTTCTTCTCCTTCAACATCGTCCAAGTCTAGCTCCTTCATCTTTTCTGTGGACCGATCGGGGGAACTTGTCGGTTTTTTGCTCACCTGCCCCTTATCTTTCGCTTTAGTTTTCTTAGGCATAGTGTTGTTGTTCGACAATAATTTGATAAATATAAATAAAAACTTTGTACTTGACCTACTGTCACTGATATTTATAAATAAGGCATAGATTTTACTCCACTTCAGGACAAGCTGGTTTAAACGGCGTTTACATTGCGATTTCGCAAGCTTCCGACATGTGCGTTCAGCAGCGACCACTTGGATAGGATGCTCTAACTTCTTATATCTTTCTACTACCCTACATACCTTTACCTGACTACACAGTTACTGAGTATAGTACAACAGCACTGTTTCACAGGGTACAGCTGTGTTCCATTTCTCTCGCATTCGAGAAATTCCGCGAGAACGTAAGGTACTGTTCTTACATTTTAGTGCAAGTTTATGGTGTGTTTTACTACTTGTGTTGATTAGTTTGTTGTGTGTAGCTCTGTTTCTCTCTTTAGTACATTTTGGGTTGGTAATTTTGTCACAATCATTTAGTTCTATCATTTTTGTGACGAATCACGATATGACGTAATGTTTTCAAAGAAACCCATTCTTCCTGCCAGACCAGAACCACCTACTCTCGAAAATATACACGCTGATATACAAGATGCACATGAAAACGATGTAGTTTTCACATACTTTCAAGAGCAGCCACCTACAAGCGGTGAGCACGATTTACTCATTGATGGAAGTTACCACCGTGATTGTGACACGCCAAGTGACTATCGCTGATAGGGTCTATGTCCCCCAGGTTACTGCCGGAACGTACCCTGGGTACGGTCCGGTATACCGGAACGTACCCTGGTACTAAATACTACTATCTAATATGCTGGACCGTACCTCGCCTACTCCATTAACGATTCTAGGGAGTCGCCTACGCCTACTCCCTAACCCTAACCCTAACCCTAGGGTTCTTACAAACAGCTTTACTTTTGAACGTTTGACAAACGCCATTCTGGATGTTCTTATGTCTCTTTTTGTACTGTTTGTACTTGTATTTTTCGCTACGTTATTGATGGGATATCTATGCGAAAATGGCGGCATTTTTTTAGTTTTATCTTATATCAATTTATAAATAATTACTCGCTGACACGTAAATACATGCTCAGTGATATTATCTTATTATTATCTTATTATTATCTTATTTTAACGTGTATTTCGAAGTAAATACTAATAGTAATTAAGAAGTGTAGCGATAGTTGCAACATGTAACAGGTGAGGTCAAATGTGGTAATACGATTGTTTTATTTACGAAATTCGGAGTTTGTTTTCAAGCAACCAGGCATTTCGTATGGAAGGGTGTCAGGCTCCTACGCCGTGTAACAGTCGGAGAGCCTGGTCGGTTTACTACGTGATGTAATTACCCAAAGTGTATTGCCTCCAAATAACTCT